CGTCCTGGTCCACGAGGTTCTGATCCATCCATCAACCAGCACAGATGATAGCCTTTAGTAAACCTACTGTGAGACCCCCCCCCCCCCGGCATCTACTCACCGAACAAACTGAGGACCTGTTCATCTGGAACGAAGAACGGAGGACCTGCAAGAAAAGCAGAGAAGGTCACAGCAGGTCCACCATCAGAGCTGCGTTCAAACAGGCGGGTCGAGCCGCGTTCCCATGGAGACAGCAGCTTAGCGTTCACTAAAGCACTGAGGTAAAAAAGAGTTTCTAGATGTTTTTAGCTTCAATGTTTGCTAAACATCAACAGAAACAAAGATCTACAGAAAAGGAATTAAAGGAAGGAGAGACTTTCTGTTCTAGATGGGTTCATGTCCTTCAGATTCCAGCTAATTGAACTTCAATCAAGCCCCGCCCCCCTGCCTGTTATGGAGCAGCAACTGTTGCTACCCGATCCGTCCCACCAGCTCATCATCAACCAGATATAAATCCGGGTCGCCGTCCATTTTAATCGTTAAAAAGACATTTTTTTTTCCCTCCCTAAACATAAATATAATGTGTTAAAGGTTAATAATGTGTTTAAAAATGCATTTAAATCCTGTTTTATCGCTGATCTGTACAGGAAAACTCTCCTGGTGGAGTGAAGCTGTTTATTTCTATGTTTTCATGCTGACAGCTCTGCAGGAGGATCACGGCTGGATGCAGCCGCCATCTTCCCGCCAGCTTTGATTGGCAGACGGGAAGATGGCGGCTCTACAGTTTTGGACACTTTTCACCTGAAGCTCACCTTTCTCAACGATCAACAACCTGCCGCCCGCGGAAACGCGCCCAGAACCTCTGGATGCGCTTCCACCAACTCTACGTCTCCCGTAAAACATGTTTGATGTGAATGCAGCAATACTGTCTCCATGGCAACATACCTTCATACAAGTCTGGATTGTACAGGAAGGTGTCCAGCAGGTATCTGCAGTCCGCAGCCATCAGAGAGAGGATCAGAGCCGCATACCTGAGGAGCCCAGGACACTGGTGAGGAGCGGGATATGCTGATGTCACGCTGATGTCACAGCAGACGTCTCACTGAGCTCACCTGTCCCGGTCCTTTGGGTTGATGGCCACCAGAGATCCTCGGTCCCAGATGGCTCCAAACTGACCTGCCACAGAGCTGAAACAGAGCGGCTCAGACGGCAGCAGGCGCCTTCAAGCTGGAAGCAGGAGGAAACTCACCTGGAGAAGCTGAACAGGTCGCACTGATACAGGGAGATGCTCTTCTCCGTGTTCTAGAAAGAATAAAACACCAGATGGGAAAGTGTCCAATCAGCGAGCTCATCAGAAC